GGGGAGAAACACACCTCGCACAGAACAGCAGCGTCAGCAGTGTTGAGAGCGATCCCGCCCACAAGGCCGCGACTCGGGCTGGGCCTGACAAATGCGTTGGGATCCCGAGACAGAGCCTCCATCCTTGTCTTGTCTCCAAGGATCGAACCGCCGCTTACATCGGAGGAAGGGTCCACAGCAAGCACAGCCACCTTCTGCCCGTGCTTGATTGCACACGAGCCTAACTCTGTCGCGATCAGAGTTTTATGCGAGTTTTATTTTTTTTAACCAGCAGATCGAAAAAGAAAAAGAAGACAAGCACATGAAAAGCAATCATTAGCCAACAAATAAAATTAGAAAATCCCAAAGCAAACAAAAGAAGGAAAGAAAAGAAAAGAAAAAGAAAATCGAAATACCGCCCTCGTTCTCGCTCCGTAACACCAGCATTTCCCGCTTTCCATTCTCTCTCTCTCTCTCTCTCTCTCTCTCTCTCTCTCTCTCTCTCTCTCTCTCTCTCTCTCTCTCTCACCCCCTACCTACCTCTTCCTGGTCGCTTTCGCTTTTCAAATGCTGCTATACCCCATCATATGCATGATACTTTCAAAAAAGAAAAAAATGGTGGCAGTAGAGATCTGACGGACGTGGGTTGTTCTTATCCGCTTGTCAATCGAGCGGCCATGACCGATCACACCACCATGATGCCGTGAAGAGGATGACACCATGGTGACGGGGAGAATAGAATAATACCCCTTTGGGCATTTAACTTTGCCCTTCTTGGAAGCACTTTCGGCGTTTTTTTAACCGACATCGTAAGGGCTCACCTGGTTCTCACCTGTAAGACCCGACGATTTCGGTTCAGGGAAAGCCTAAATTGCGGCCAGGAACGTCAAAGTTAAATGCCCAAAGGAATAATACTTATAAATTAATAACAATAACATTATTATTATTATTAACATTAATAATTATTATTATTATTATTAATATTAGTAATACAGCATTACATTATTATTATGATTATTATTACTATTATTATTATTACTATTATTATTATTATGCGATTGTCGATCGAGCCGACATGATCAATCATATCACGATGACGTCGAGAGGATGACAACATGGTGACGTGGGGAGGATAACGACATGCTGACGTGGAGAATGACAACATGGCAAAGCTGAAAGTATGTATAGGGCGTTCCGTGACGTTCCATGGCACAGCCAAAACTATGAGTGCAGATTACTTACGGTAATAAACAGAATACCTAACGACGAATACGAAAATGCGCCTCGCTCCACCACTCACCAGATGTGAAATGGATAGAGCTATCGCGGGTGTATCTTTCCAAGTTTAAGAGAAAGATACATGTTCCACTTGGCACATACGCTGAGTGATGGGGTGAGCCGCTATCCGTATTACATATGACATAATAATCCAACATATAATACTGTTTACGTGTATAGAAAGAGAGAGAGGCGAGTTAGAAAGAGAGTCCAGAATGCATATAACTCGACTCCCTTTCTAGTACACATACAGTAATATATTGTCACACTGTGAATCCGAACGCGAAGGCGAAAAAAGGCAAGACAAGGAAAGGGAAAGAAGGAAAGCCCCACCTGTTCATCACCTCTTACGTACAAGTCCAGCCACATGGATGACAGGTTGAGCGCTGGCTGCCCCCATCCCCGTGTGTCACAAGGACCACTTGCACGCAGCCAAAAGGCAAAAAAGAGGTAAAGAAGTAAGGAGGAGGAAACCAGACCTCAAAGAGGCAAGAGAAAGAGAAAGGGATCCAATCAAATAAAAAAGACAAAGGAAGAAAGCAAATAACACATCCCACAGACACAGAGAGAAAGGGCGTGTGCGTTATATGTGGATCACCGATCATCACGCACTCTCGATCAGGCTGGATTTTCCTGATCCCGGTGGACCTGTCAGTCCTATCCTGAACATCTTCCCGTTCCGTACGTCTTCACTTTTTCCCATAAGATACTGCAGAAGAGCAGTTCCCTGAGCTCGATCATCACTGCGCCAGGATTCGCAGAGAGTGATAGCACGGCTAAGATGCATGTGGTTTCCAGAAAGAACGCCCTCCGCGAGGACACGTGTCCGCTCTGTCATCTCCTCAAGGCCTGCCATAGAACTCGGATAGCAGTCCGCCACGTCATCACTGCTCTGCTTCGCAGTACTGGCTGAATGCCACGTGGCAAAGCGGCGCGCGGAGGCCGCCGTTCGTCCGCTGCGGCCCGACTGACCCGGCGACAGAGTAAAAAAGCCGCGCACCTTCCGCGTGTCTTCATCACCATAGACGTCGGCGGCGAAAAGTTGCCCCGCGCCCCGCCCGCTGCATTCCCCTGCATGACAGCCGCGCGAAATCTCTCGTTCCCGCGCGATCGGTGCCGCCCTTCCCGCGCTTTCAAGCGCGCAACAACCCGCTCCTGAAACCGCCGCCAGATGCTGCTGCTGCTGCTGCCGCTGCTGCTGCCACGTGGCGCCCTCTGATTGCTCGGCAGTGGCCGATGGACCCAGAAAGGCCGGCGATAACGATCGACCCTTCGTCGAAGAGACCAACGAGGGCGATCCTGTCGCCGCTGATTTCGAAGCTGAGCTGGCATTCCCCCCTGCCACCTCTGCATGCATCGTCCTCCACGTGGCAGTCGTTCCCATCTTCGCGCTAAAAGACAAATAATCATCCACAATTACCAAACAGGACTGCACGACGGCCGACACCTGTCCCAGTTTCGATCCGCCGCGCTTCGGCACGTGCGACGACAGGCGCATCATGATCTCCTTGTTCTGAAGAAATGATTCGCCGACGGTAATCAATCAATCAATCAATCAACCCAAAGGAGCCAATAATTGGGTGATAGATTGGATCGGGTAACTAAACGTGATACTAAAGTAACCAAAACAACTGCAGTGAGCAATCGATTAATCAATCTATCAATCGAGAGCAATCATCGATAAGCAATCTACCAATCGAGAGCGCAATCGATCAATCAATCCATCAATCAAGAGCAAATCGATCAACCGATCGATGAATCGTCTCAGACGAATACCATCTGCCGATATTTCGAACAATCAGTGGCACTAATCGGCTCATTGATTGATGGGTCGGGCGATCGATCAAGATCGCGCAATCAATCGATCAAAAAATTGACTAATTGATAAGAGACTAGTAAAAAAAAATCCAGTGCGCAAATCGATCATTCACTCTTCATGTACAAATCCTATCCGCCGATACTTTGAAAAATCAATCGGCTGATTGATTGTTGGATCACCAGGCAATCGATCAAGACCGCGCAATCAACCGATCAACAAAGTGACTAATTGATAACAGAGTTATCAATTCACTTGCTATTCACACTCGATCAATCAATCCAATCATTTAATTAGTTCATCAATCGATCAATCAATCAATCAATCAATCAATCGATAAATCTTCTCGCACAAATACCAACCGCCGATGCGATACTCAGAACACTAAATGGCTCAGCCAACCAAGCCAACCGACAAACCAGACCCCCACCCCTACGAACCACATACGGACGCTTATCAACCAAGCGATTAAGCGATCACCCAAGCAATGACATACCCCACCAGGCAATCAAACGTTAGATCGACAGTTCGATCTACCCCGTTCGATCTAGCCCCAGACTACAATATCGACTAAGTAAGCTTTCCCTGCTACCACGGATGATAGAAAATGTGTTTGGGGGGGGGGGGGGGGGGGGGGAAGTAAGAAAGTGTGGAAGTAAGGAGGCTGCTTATATCACCTCCGCTAACTTGGCTATTAGCTAGCTGACCGACGTGCAAAAGAAAACCAATAAAAAATAAAAAATAAAACAGAAAAAAGGATGGCAGTCCCAATGCAGTCCCCGCTACCATGTGCGTTCCGAGCCTGTCTGTGCGGAGACGCGCTGCCGGTTCGCTGATCATCCCAAAATTTTATTACAAAAAATAATAATAATAATTTAAAAAATAACAATCAGGGCGTGCTCACACCGGCACTTTTCTAAACGTATACGACTGCAATCGCCGCCGTACCTTGATGAATGTGACCGCAATCACGTCCAGAGATCAGTCAAAAAAGTCCTAGTGCGAGAATGGCCTCATTAGTGAATCAACATAATCAATCAGCACCGTTCGAATCGAAAATCATGGGGCGTCGCTCCATTAGCAATGGGATCGGTTGTCGAAGGCGTAGAAGCAGACACACAAAAACCGAAACGATCATTTGGCTTGTAGCGTCATCAGGAAGAGGACGCAAGGAAGACGCAAGGAGGACAGAATAGATTGTTTCTCTTGCTTCCTAATTAATTATTACTTATATGATTTATTGCTGTGCTTATTTATTACTCTTTTATTCATATTTATAATTCAAAACAATGTCTTCCGTTCATTTCTACGGGCCCAGTGCGCAAGGCTGGTCCAACAGCGAAGTGCGTTATGGTCCAACCACGGACAGCCAGGTGGTCGCACGCTCTGCAGATCCCGGCCCGTCACAATGGACACGTCATCGCGGCCTAGACCAAGCCCCTCCGATAGCGATGTCCCTTTTCCAACAAGCCCCACAGATACTGATGTCCTTTTTCCAACAAGCCCCACAGATAGTGATGTCCTTTTCTTCAACGAGATTTTACTTGATCAAGTATGCTTAACCGGACAGATAGGATGACGGTACGTAGTCAGGAGCCCCGACCAAATCCGCCGAAGTGGAATAGTCAGGAACGCTTTCGCGAAACCGTGCACTTCCACGGGAGAGAAAAAAGACAAAAGGTGCACTTGCCGTAAGCTGGACTAGATGATGCCCCAGCGGGTCGCAACTGCCGTTGTTCATACACCCGGTGCCGGTTTTTTGGCCTCAAGTGGCTGATGGAAGGGTGCAGGATTTCGGAGTGGGGTTTGGAGGGGGGCGCGGAGCGGTTTTAGGGTGGAGACCGGTCCACCTATCCCCTTTACAAAACGACACTGTGCAAGGGGGAAGGCCTAGTCCCATGCCGTTTCACTTCGTTCCTCGTTCAAACCTCTTCACCTCACTTGCAACTACTCAAGTGCGAAAACACTGTTCTGCTCACCAGCAACAACCCATGCAGTTGGATGCTATTCGTAAGGCGACAGTCCCTTCAGACGTTATCATCGGCTATTCCTTTTGGAACAACCGGGACTCGGCACCGTGTGTTCTGTGTATCCACGGCCACGAGACTTTTCCAACAAGTCTTCCGTATGCTCTTACCATCAATCCACGTTTGTCAGTGGTCCACTCACACTCACCCGGGCTGAAGTACCACCTCGCCGCCCCGAGTGGTCCCACTACCCTGTCCAGTCACAGTATAAGTCAAGGGGGCCTGACCGGCCACCACAGCTTGCAAAGCCTCCGGAGCAGTGCCCTCCAGGCCTTGTCCGCCCACTGCGCTCATCGCATATGCGAACCTGCGTGCATGAGACGCGAGTGTCAGATCACACGGAGGCCGAGTATTTTTCCTCGCCTCTTTTTGGCGAGGGACTGTGTATCTCCAGTCCTTGGGCACTGCTGCTTCTTCCCGTCGTGGTCGCCGCTGGTCAGTCAGTCATTCCCCTTGGCTATTATCAACTCAGTCGGCCAACTCCACTCTCGGTCAGTCATTCGCATGCTTTTGTCCTACTACGATGAGTCAGTCCCACTACACGCTGTCATCTTCACCCCATCATGAACACCTCTGTCTGCAGGCTTGGAGATCGTTCAAATGTCCCCACTGTATTGCATGCCTCCCACCACCCGTTTCCATACCACCACTAGATCCCATCGCCCAGCCCAACCCGCCTTCTCACCTCTCTATCCCCCCCGTCTATGACCCTTTTCTTCTTTCTTTCTTTCCCTCTCACTTTGTTGCCAAAACTGACTTTTGTGTATCACATCAGCGCCTCATCACAGAATTCACATTGTTCATAACACCACTCTCAACGTATACCTCCCCACCTCCTATCTCATGTGACGAATCTTTGTAGAGTATTTTTGCCCTTGATCCCGCAACAACTACCCTTTTGCCAATCCACCTATTCAACCTCCCTCTCATCATCCTCAACTCTTTTGTCAACCTTCAAGCCTATTTCGTAGAACAACGATACGACTCACCTCTCGCCATCTCCAATGTGCTGGAGTTCGTGGAAAACTCTGCTTTCTGCACTTTCCAAAATGGCGCCAGATCATTTTTTCTTCTCCTACGAGACAGGGCTATGAAACTGCTTTCTCACTCATTTTATTCCAACCTGCTCACCTTGCTCATCTTCATTGGTTCTCGCTACTTAACTTTCCTCAGCATTGAAGATCAAGCTCGTGCAAGAGAGAGTTTGGCCTTGTAACAGGAGCAGCATGCGCATGATCTGCGCATACCATTCTATTGTTATTCTCTGTGTGTGGCATCCATCATCGACCCTGCGTCGAAGTTCTGGGTCAACAACGGGCTGCTAAGCTTGGTAAAGAACCTCTCAGCCCTTAAATCCCTTCCAACGGTTGTTTTTCCAATTGCTTTTTTCTTCAAAGGGTTCCTCGAGCAATTGACCAAGGAGGACTTCAATCATCTCTACCTACAGGCTCCTCTCCACTTGGCCAGGACCTTGGTTCAGACTCCTCACCGAGAAGATTTGCGGCGTTGATCCTCACTATTACCCGTCGTCGGAGTGGCCAAGAAAACCCTTTCGTCGTTCACAACCGTTCTCCCCTCTTTTGATTTTCAAATTTAAGAAAGGCTCTCACGTTTTTTCCTTCATTGATTGTTAGGACCAGGATGTCGCCCAAGAAGAAGCTTGTTGCTTCTTCATCTACCAAGAGGAAGTTTCACAAGTCTCTTGATCCCGCCTCAGACACGGATCCGCCTTCTCCTGAAAAACTGATTCCTGTGCAACAACTTCTTATTGTACCCAGACCGCCGATCACTGCATGCGCACCTCCGACTATTTCCTCCCCTAACAATCCCAAAACACCTAGAACTAGGAGGAAACCGAGTGTTTTTAGATTTCTCGACTTTTTCTTCTTCCTCTGCATCTGTATACTTTTTTTCCTCATCCTTTTTCCCCACCTTCTCTTGTTCATCATAATTCTCTCAGTTTTTCGTTTCTTTTCTTTTAAAAACCTTCTGTCATGGTTTCTTTTGAGGTTTGCAACTGCTAATTCCCTTTTATATTTGTACAACTGAAGGGGGTGTTGATCAGGGTATAAGCCTAAGTTTCATTTCAAAACCATTTTTCTTGTTGTTACTATTTTGAGCTCCTTTGTGTTTGCAAACCTTTTTCAATTCTTAAATGGTGCTTATTACAAGAAGGCAGGTTTCGTGTGCAATCCCTACAAGTCATGTCATCCTTATGAATTATTAAAAAAAAAAAAAAAGGGGGATTTTATGACGTAGTTGAAGATAGTTATCAAGATCATTAATCTGTGTATTATCTTTTTCACATTTATCGCCATTCGATGCCTTAAAAAAAAAAAAAAAAAGGACAGGGGGGATAAAGGAAAAGGGAGACTTCATTTTTTAAGACCTGACAATTAAATTGGCATGAAGATTCTTACCCCTTTAAAATTTCAAACATATTCTTACAAATAATAATAATAAAGAAAGAAACAAGTGAAAAACGAAGAAATAAAAAGATAGCAAGAAGGTTGTTGTTACTGTGGCTTAAACCACCAGTACCTACCAGTTGTTCAGGACTGATCCTCATTTTCGCCTGTGCGCCGATTTTTGTCGAGTCTGCGGGGAGTGGGAAAAAATACGGGACATTTGCTGCTACAAGCAGGTACCGCCCCTTATGCTGGACCTTCTGCTAGCAGATGAAACGCAAACAGGCCGTCGTTTTCTTATTTTCACTCACGCATTGAATGTTCCCGTGAAGGATCTTCTTCCAAAAAAAAAACAAAAAAGGAAAAAAATGGGGAAACGGAAAACCAGCATCTGAGCGTGATTGCCCTAAGATTCATATGACTTCGTGCATAAGTGACGCCAGATACATGATTCCAATTTGCAATGTTACAGTCTCTCTGGGAGTTGAGGCAATGAATGCTCCCCGTCTGTCACGGGGAGCAAGTGCACAAACAACCAACAATCTTCTTTTAAAATTAAAAAAAAAGAAAAAAAAAAAGGAGGAAATCATAAACCAGCATCTGAACGTGATTGCCCTAAGATTCATATGACTTCGTGCATAAGTGAAGCCAGATACATGATTTGAATTTGCAACGTTACAGTCTCTCTGGGAGCTGAGGCAATGAATATTCCCCGTTTGTCACGGGGAGCAAGTGCACAAACAACCAACAATCTTCTTTCCCCCCCCCCAAAAAAAAAAGGGAAACAAGAAACCAGAATCTGAACGTGATTGCCCTAAGATTCATATGACGCAGTGCAGAAGTGAAGCCGAATACATTATTTCAAAAAAAAAATTAAAAAAAAATGATCTATCTTTATTTTTTCCTCGTTTTTTTTTTTTTTTTTTTTTTTCCCTCCTTCCTACCACTGTCCGCGCGTTTCCACATTAAACACCACGATGACATCTTGCAGTCCTTGTGGGAGGTTCCCATGGGGCCACCAGCTTTCTGCCCCATTACCATGCCAAGCCTCTCCCGACCCCCCTAAAGTTGCGGCGCATTAACGGCCACGACTTTTTTTTATAGTTGGGCGAGGTACAGGTGGTTTCAAAAACACGTAGGGCGTAACCTTCTACATCCTAATTTATTTGGTCGCCCTACCAACGACTGACCTAAAAAAATGGACTACCAATCACTAATTGTCTGAACAACATCAGCCTAATTGATAGATCTTCATAAGTTTTGATAGTTTTATCCTCATCTTCCTAAAAAAAAAAAAAAAAAAAAAAAAACGAAAGGGGACTGGACAAGGCAAATAGGAAAAATAAAATGTTCGTAATTACTCTATTTTTTGCCTTCTCTCCATAACCCTTTTTTGCTCATAAATAAAAAAAAAAAAAAGTGTTTTCAATGTCTTTTTCATGTCTTTGCTCCGGTAATTCCCGTCCCTTTACATGTCACCAAAATCACCCGACAATCTTACATTCCAGTTATAACGCAAAAAACCCAACCAGCCTTGTTTTCATCCACTCTCAATGGTGCTTACAAGTCTTACCCTCTCTCAAGACATATGGCACTCTCATCAGTTAATCAATTTTTTTTTTTTACCACATTTTGCATAACCCAGCCAAAAAAAAAAAAAAAAAAGTAAGGGGTTTTAAAGGTGGGGCAAGGATGGTGAAAGTTGCATGAGGCATTGTATGATCCGAACTTTGCATGCTAATCTACACAAGGGAAGTTGATATATGATCTTAGCCTCGTAGCTTATTCTACCTAATAATACTAATTTATTGTTTTTCAATAAAGCCTGTATGTGGTATTAGATGTTCCTATTTACGAAGTTCTCAGCCTGTCGTAAAAAATAAATAAAAATAAAGAGTTTTTACGAGACTGGTTTTTACTAAATAAGGTTGTTCACCACATATCAGACATATTACTGTTAGATCCTCCTTCCTGCTATATGTCAAGTCATCCAAGTTCCCCCCGTCATTTCATTTCACTTTATTCAATAGTTAAACTTTCCATTATAAGTTAAAAATAAAAATAATAATAATAATAATAATAATAATAATAATAATAATAATAATAATAATAATAATAATAATAATAAAAAAAAAAAAAAAGAAGAGGAGAGAAGGCATCCTTATACATGTAAAGGATTAAAGTGCAATGCAGGTCACATCCAATCAGTAGTCTTGAACTATCAAAGCTTCCTGTGCTAAATTTGCATAGTTGAGAGTTCACTTTCAGACTTAGCTTTGCAATATACTCTGCCTTCATTATGCTAACGCTTACCCTCCTCTTTTGTTTCTGCAAAGAAGTCAGTAAGAGGTAACAATTTTTCTCTCAACAAACCATTGAAAAAAAAAAAAAAAAGTSGGGSKGGGGGGGGGGGAGGGAATTGGTGAATCTTCTTACCAGTTTTATCTGTTTTGAAGGTTGCACCATGGAGCATCTAATCAACATTTTTTTGATAACCTATTCTTCCTCCCCTCCCAACTTATCACGATCCTCTTTTTCCTGCCCCACAATCCATTCTTGATAAGTTTTTTTCCTCTTCGACTCTTTTCTTGTTTAATTGTGTCCTTATTCATCTTTCTTTTTCTACCACCCGTTCTCCTCACGACCATTATTTTTGAAGACTACTGAATTGCTCTTACATCCTTTGAAACTTTGAGTCACTCGTAGTTTACTAAGCCCCTGACCCGGAAAACGCTAAGACCAAGGATATTTTTTTTTAGCTAGAGAGTAAAATGTCTTCATGCATGAATTTGAAGTTATGTGCATTTTGCTCCTTTATTTGAAAATTAATATAGTGGCAAAAAGGGGGGGGGAAAGAGGAGGACATCGCATTTTGACACCACATTATTCATTCCCGCAA